CCCCCTGTCGTTCTTCCCCTAGGGCCCAGCCTGCTAATGTTAGCCTGCTCTAACTTACCCGATGACAGTGACAGCCCCTCTACTTACCACACAGCAGCTCGATAAGCTAACGCAGTTAGGTTTGACCCTGTTTAGTACCTGATGTTTAGACGGTGCGTGCTCTCTTGCAGGGTTTTGTCAAAGTGGTGAAGAACAAGGCCTACTTCAAGAGGTACCAGGTCAAATTCAGGAGGAGGAGAGGTAAGACACCTTCTGACCAGCTACTTCCTCCTAACATTCAGGCTGTTTTGAGTACAATATCTAATTAATTGAGGTGTGTGTTTCTTCCAGAGGGAAAAACAGACTACTTTGCTCGTAAGCGCCTGGTCGTTCAAGATAAGAACAAGTACAACACACCCAAGTACCGAATGATTGTCCGTTTTACTAACCGGGACATCATCTGTCAGGTAAGCTTCCACTGAGATTATAGATGGCCCTTTGTGGTTATTTTTGTCAAAATAAAGATGTGGAGACTTCCGCCTATAGTTGGGCTTTTTTAAATTCCAAAATATTAAACTGCAGTAGAATGAATGTAACACAAATGTCTTCAATAGAGCATTGTCAGTTGTAAAGATGTTTGCAGTCTGAAAATTCATTGTAAAGTCTGTGTAAATTCATGATTACATGTGATTGTGTTGCAGATTGCCTATGCCAAGATTGAGGGTGATATGATCGTGTGTGCTGCCTACTCACACGAGCTACCGAAATATGGGATCTCCGTGGGCTTGACAAACTACGCAGCAGCCTACTGCACTGGTCTGCTGCTGGCCCGCAGAGTATGTATACAACATGATATCTTAGTGTCGTCAGTGTGATGAGATTCAATTGAGGGTGAATGCCCAAACTAAAGGTTTGTTGATGCCCGTTGAATAAAATCTGATGCAAGTTTGAATTTTCTGACTGCAGCTACTGAACAAATTCGGCCTGGATAAGGTGTATGAAGGCCAGGTGGAGGTGACAGGTGACGAGTTTAATGTGGAGAGTATTGATGGCCAGCCAGGCGCTTTCACCTGCTACCTGGATGCTGGGCTTGCCAGAACCACCACAGGCAACAAGGTGTTTGGTGCACTCAAGGGAGCTGTGGATGGAGGCCTGTCCATCCCCCACAGGTAACCTTTCCTACATATGGTCACAAACATGCCTGGATTTGACATAGTGTGCTTGGCGAAGTAGGCAATATGAAAAAATGTTTTCAGTCCAAAATGAGCTTTGCTTGATAGGTTAGGAACAGTGCAGTCTGGAGGAGACACCTTCACTGAAATGTGTCAACAGATGAATACAGAAGCAGTGTTTACAGCTTAAGTTACAGAAGTCACCAGTGAGGTGTCTTATCAGTTTGTTCTCCTGCTGTGCTATCCCTCAGGGCTTTTTGGTGGAAGAGCATGGTAGGAACACACAGGTGCAAATAAGTGATGGCTGGATTCCATTTAGGATTTGAATGTTGTTTCAGAACTTATCTGACAGGGGATTTAGTTTACTGTAAATTTCAAGGAATGTACTGAGGCTGCTTTGACAGATATTGAACTGTAATGGCTTTCAGCTTTTCTACCAGCCAATTTTTGCTATCCAGTTTTTGCTTACATTTGCAGGCAGTTTCAGGGCTGCAAACTACCATTTCATAATGGCGGCACTGAAGCCACCAAGTCTCTGAGAAAGTAGCACCAGTACCAGATATGGTGGCACCACCTGCTTAATAAACTGTGTATTATCCACATATTGTTTTAACTGACCTTTGCCATAAAATACAGATGTACAGTATATGTGGTGAAATTCAAAGAGAGAGACTTCTGGGACCCCTCTCCTCTTTTTACGTAAGGATGTTATAGGCTAGTAGTAAATAATGATAATGATGTCGCGTAATGATTATTATATTAAGGTAGAAAAGCAATTGCGCCTACAGATGAACAGGCCACGTGCTTTGTTGCATGTAGCACACTGTATCCATGGCCATGTTGTATTTCTTAAATAGTTGTTTGTAAATATAAGAATTATTACACTGTAGCGCCTCTGGTAGTAGCACTACTAACTTTAGCTCAGCTACAGTACAGGTATCCACACAGTGGCTCTCACAGGGACATAAACATGCTTGTCTGTGCTCCAGATGCCCTGCGTCTCCAGTGGAGGACAGTAAAGTCTGACGGCAGCTTGTCATGGCTGTTAGCTCGGGCTCTGTCCATGCTACACTGAGCAGCGGTCAGTGTCCCTCATGGTCATAAGTGTCGCACATTACGTAGTCATGAGGACACGTTGGCTGCTCATTGCACCTTCATTCAGCTGTTGCATTCTTTATACAGTATATGGTGAGCGAAGAGCTTCAGGCAGAATTTGAGGGTGTCTTTACTCTAACACCTGTTTGTTCTGCACTTGCACCCAGTGCAACCTTTGCAAAAGGTCAATTGCATCTCACCTGCAGTCTGGAGCCTGAATTTCTAAATGGCTTTTAAAAGAAAATGGTTGTTTAAAAATCTTACTGATGGAGAGAGTGACTGAACGGGCAGGGAGTTGATGAAGCGCCCAGTACAGGCTGAACGCTAGTTCAGTAGTTCATGAATGCATCTCCAAATATGAAAGGGTCCTGGTAAAAAACAGTGTGCACCCCAGGCTGACTGCTTTGCTTGTTACAGCTGCCTGCTGACCTGCTCATCATGATGTCAGTAAAGAATTTGATTCACCAGCTCCTATGTCCTGTCGCATCTTCTAGCAGTGGCAGTAAGGAGGAGATGTGCTTAGCTTCATGTTTTCCATGTGTACTGTTGGTGGTCATATGTGCACTTTACTGCGAGTTAAATGTGTGATGTTGCACTTTAAAAAGGTGACATTCACTGGTCTCATTTGTGCAGTACTGACAGTTCAGAGGGTCAATCTGTGACTCCTTTTTTATACTCTATTTAGTCATTTATTTTGAGATGCAGTCACAGTTAAGAACAAGTAAGTGCAAAGAGTGTGATGTGGTGTGGTCACTCTTAATGGTAGGTGTAAATGGGGCCTATGTAAAAGTGTGTGTGTGTTAAAGGATCCTGTGAATATTACATAAATGTTTATAACAGTGCAAAGATTAATCATACATGTGGTACTGTGCCATGAATCAGTAACGGCTCAACAGTGTCTAGTAGTGCACGATTAATGTTCTTTAGGTTTAGATTCACACACCTGAACGATCTCCTCCTTGTATGATGATTGTCATGTTTGTTTTAGCGGGGGGGGTCCACAGCGTCAAACCAAACTCTTGCTACTTATCAGTAACAAATGACAGGACTGCATTGCCCTGTGTGACATCCTAGACATGTGAAATGAGGGCAGATTTGAGTAAGACCTGGCCATATTTGTTTTGTTTCACTGACCTTGCTGGGGATTGACCTCTTTGTACACTTCTGTCCAGCACCAAACGCTTCCCTGGTTATGACACAGAGAGCAAGGAGTTCAACGCTGAGGTCCATCGCAAGCACATCATGGGCGTCAACGTGTCGGAGTACATGAGCTACCTGATGGAGGAGGATGAGGAGGCTTACAAGAAGCAGTTCTCCCGCTTCATCAAGAACGGAGTCACCCCTGAGTCGGCAAGTTGTCTTTATTTATTATTAAATGACCTTTCCACTCTGTTGCGTTATACTGCAGTGGTCAGTGGGTAGAAGTTAGGATGTGTAGAAATGTGCAATGTTTTGAGATTTGTCTCGGCAGCTTATGAGCAAAGACCTTTAGCATATCAAGTGGAATTACTTTGTCTCATTAGGGGCAAATTTCACACACGCCTATTGTTCATTCCTCATGAGAAAGATCCTGAGGTCATGGTGCAGTGATCACATCCTTCGACTAAGCCTGGGCATCATAAGCTCATACACAATCGGAAAGTAATTCATATGTACCACTTGAAGGAGGTGGACATCATAATCTAGTGATAGAATAAGGTTAGACTTTTCAAAGTTGTTTAAATGCTAATGCAGGCTGTGTACGAGTGCCCAGCATCATAAGCTCATACACAATCAGACAGTAATTCAAATGTACCACTTGAAGGAGGTGGACATTATAATCTAGTGATAGAATAAGGTTAGACTTTTCAAAGTTGTTTAAATGCTAATGCAGGCTGTGTACGAGTGCCTATATGCACTTCTGATCTCTCCCACAATGGCCTTTATACTCCTGACATGATGTTCAGGGATTTGTTTAGTAGTGTGGATAAAAATGAATTGGCTCACTCACAGTAACTCGTGCCTTATTAATCACTTCTTGAAAGGCAGAACATGAACCAAACAATTTACAAGAGTGATGGGACTTAGTGTGATGGCGGCTTACTGGACCCTAAAGCGTGACTTATGTTTTTGTGTAAAATGTACTCCATGCCCACAGCGTAGGTTGTTTGTAGCCTTGTCCCCTACACCGTAGCTGGCGATGCAGACAACTGCGATTGGTTGCATTACATTTCCTCGTTCATGTCTCTCTGTGGCTGGACAAA